TGTAGTTTAAGTTGTTGTTGTTTGGTTTTTCAATTCGTTTTGTACTTTTTCACCTTGTCACTTTGTTTGTACGAACGTTAAAAATTCAATACACTTTCAAGTTAACGTCCTTTGTAATTGCTTTGTAATTATTTGTCTATCATATTCTATCAAATTATGTTAAAAGCCAGGCAATAATTCTTTTCGCTCTAATCGATAATGTCGTTCCGATAGTCAGCGGAAATGGCCAATGACTGTGCAATAACTAATAATCGGTATTTTTGAAATTAAATTGCGAACGATGGGCCGTTTGCATAAATCTGATTTTGAGGTTTTTGCTCGTTCTGCTCATATAACCTTTTGCTGGATCTGATTTTTTGACTGGAAACTGGTATATTATAGATTGAATAGCTGAAACTATTTTTCAAATAAGGCTGATTGAAAACTTCGGAAAATAGATATTTGGAAAATTTTGGACCGTATAGCTATCGAAGGATTAAATTCCACTGAACCTTAATAAAATAAGCAATGTAGGGAAGGATTAAATCCGTAAGCCTTCTCAAATATAAACTTGCCTAGTACTTAGATGCAACATCATCTGAAGCCCACTAGCCCACATTTTCGTAAGCCGAAACTATAGAACCCGAGTCAAGTTCCTTAAGCTATAGTCAACAGGGGCGCACTGCGAAGTTCATTCCGCAGGCGGAAGCGGGATTTGCATGGAAATGTTTCTCGTTTGAATCTAAACTTCCACTATTATGTTCCCAGTGTTTATTTTGATGCTAATTCGGGCGAATCCGTACAGTGTGTATACGCTGAGCGCCCCAAAAACCAAGCAGCCGGCTGGCGAATAAAACCGATATCATTTGCCAGAGGAAGTTTTTTAAATTAAGTCGTGCTTCTCTAAGCGAAATTTCATGCTGTTTTGGCTCGGATATATTCAAAGTCCATTGTTTACGTTTCTACAAGTCGCATTTTAATTTTCAATTTGATCCCGAAGTTCCAGAACAAAAGATTGCGATGCGTCCCAAAAATAGACGTCGCGACGCTCCCGCTTTTCCTAACAAATTGGTGGCGGTTGTGCAATTAAATTACGTCATTGTTTATTGCACGGACAAAAGCGTCCGTCATTGTTCCATAGAATTGCATTTCTATTTCTTTTTTTTTTTTGGCGAAGAATTATTATGGACCGAATTGCAATTCTTTGTTCTGGATGCAGAGAGCTGACCGGTACTCGAATTTATTTTTGCAAAGATAATCTTGAAAATGTTTTTTCAGTTGTTATGATTCAATGTGCTCGAACACATTCAAAAGCATCTAATTTTTCACTCCAGGCCCCTTACGAGGGTTCTCATAGAAATCGATGTGAGTAAACGATAAAATTGTGTTGATTTTTTTTACATTGGTGTCGCAGACTGCCTCTGTGGTTTAAATCCAAAAGGAAATTATGCCAGTAGACATTGAAACCCAAAAATATATGTAGGTATATGAAATTGAAAACTTATCGCCTAGGTCAACGAATCACGAATTTCCATGTTTAGTATCCTAAATCGAAATGGAAGTTAATAGCAGGCGGTCCAATTTAAAAAGTTCGAGCCGCTTAGGGCGGCGGCTTTGGCAACGATTTTTGAAAAAGTTCGTGCAGCCACAACGCTCAGGGACAACGAAACAACTTAGAAAGTGTTGCAAAGTTTAGTTTTATCGAGTAGAGTACGTGACTTAAATGTCCTCCTTAAACACGGAATTTTGTACTATTCGACAATTTAATTTATATTTTTTTAGTGGTATTACACAAGCTTTTCCGCCTTCAAAGCACCAAGACCTGATGGCATCTATCCAGTCTTACTTCAGAGGGGTCTGGAGCTACTCTTGCCGCACCTGGTAGAGATGTTCAGGGCGTCTTTAGTGCTGAGACACATACCGAAGGCTTGCAGAGAAGTAGAGGTGTTCCTACAAAAACCATGGAGGATGGACTAAACCACCTTCAAAACCTCATCTTTTTCTCTAAAAACAATGGAGAGGCCTTCACTTGGTGGCTGGGCGAGTTGAAAAATCGCTGGACAATAGAGAGTACATCCTTAAGGTTTTTATCGACATTGAAGGGGCTTTTGATAAAACCACCTTTCAAAGAATCAGCAAATCGATAACAGAAAAGAATAAGAGGAAACTCGTACTTCCGCTAGCACCCAGACTCTTAAACACCGAACTAAGATTCACTGCCAAGGTCAAATATCTGGGGGTGAGACTCGATAGCAAACTTGGAACACTCATATGAATAAGGGAACACAGAAAGCATTATATTGCTTATGAACAGTATAGATGTTTCATCGGTAAGACCTAAGGGGTTCTCCCCCAAGGTATTTATGTGGATCTTTACAGCCATCATTAGGCCTATGCTTACTTATGGGGCTATTGTCTTTCCCATTTACCGTCAATCTTAAATATTTTTTCCAAAGAAGAGAGGGTGTGTAACGAAGTTACTATATTTTTCCGGAAATGTGTGCGCCTTTGACTTCAATTTAATTACTTTAATTTAACTATTTGCGCTAGGTAATTCTCGGTCAACCCTGCGGTAGTGATTTAACTTGATTATCGTATTTTTAATTATTTGTGTAACTAAAGCCACACAACTTTTCTTTGATTTTAAGAAGAACCGCGGCTTTCTGGAGTATCTCCGAATTATTATTCATTTCCAAATAAATCAATATTTTCTGCGTGCCCTTGCTGCAAGTAGCAGTTTGTATGGTCACATACTCGAGGCTTCACCGCCGGCTTTGGACCCATAGTATCCGAAGCGCGCACCATGGTATTTTCTTCCACTGGGTTGCCCTTCCATCCTCGAGCGCTTTCCTTACAAACGAACGGAGTTGAGTTAAGTCATTCTAGCCCGAGTTCACCAACTAAGTAGACGCTCCCGACGTCCACCGAGTACCGAGGAATTGCTTTATTTACCGTTATAGATTTGCTCCAATAATTTTGGTATTGTTATTTACTTTTGGTAATTGATAAAAACTAAATTGTTGGTGGGATAGTGTGTTTCATTTTGGAAAATGCGCTGGTTTTTCCGTCTCCACTGTTTAATTGCTACCTAGTTCACGTGGGCCCTTAACCACTATAATCCTAAGGGTGGCGCCTGAGTTTTCCGAAAACCTCGAACTGACCGCTCTCTTACCGGAAAACCAAAGTAGCGCTACAAATTTGGCATTCAAAGAATGATATCCCAACATAACTGATGTAATAAAAATCACACCAACTAGGGCTTTGGAAGTAATTCTATGTTTGACGCCCCTGGACATCTATGTCAAGAAGGTCGTCTGAACCTAACTAAAGCCCTCGGGTCCATGCCAAATGGCCTCAAAGCGAAAATTACTGCCATAACTATCGCTGCAAATAGTCAGCAACAATATCACTAAAAAGATCGTACACATCCACGCGGACTGCAGACAAGGGTTAGAACTCCTTATCTATACTACGACTTACGTCAGAACTAGTACAACATTGGCACCTCACAGAAGCGTCGATAAAAAACACGGTGGTAGTCAGCTGGATCAAAGGACATGATCACAGGTAATCGGGCTGCCGATACTCTGGCTAAAAGGGCCGCCAGGCCTTCTGGATTTGAGCCCTTAGTGGAGCTGACCTACTACCACACCCTTTTCAAAAAGCGCTGTGACCATAGGATTGGCTGCAACTTAGCCAACGAACTGCTAAGCTACCCAGATAAAGCTGACAGATAGAGTTAATAAGCTTTCTCTCGTCTTGTCTCGATGGTTCGAGAGAAAAGACGAGAGACCCTCGATACGAGACGAGACGTCCTCTCTCGTTTCGTCTTGTTTTCTCTCGTCTCTCTTCGAATATAAAACTGGTGAAATTATTCCCCTGATACCCTTATTCGCAGGCCTTATTGCATTGGGTGGCTTCGCTGCAGGTGCATCTGCGACATCTCAACATGAAAATATTTCAAATTTCAACTTTTTCGAAGGTACGTTTGAAGATACATTGTTAAAAACTATGAAAAATCATATCTTCAATTGTATCATACCTAGATAAAAATCCGAAATCTTATTCTGGTGAATTACAGTTTCAGCAAATTTGGAGTTGTAGCTCTATCTAGTATCTATTTATCTATTTGCGGCAGGTACTGAGGTCCCTGGTTACGTAGACTCACAGCTATAGTTGTTATTTTGAGCTAATATCTGTTTCCTTTGTTTGGTAGGATATTCGCTCGTTAGGGTAGGAAAATGTTAGTAAATTCAACAAGGTACGTTTGAAGATACATTGTTAAAAACTATGAAAAATCATATCTCCAATTGTATCATACCTAGATAAGAATCTTATTCTAGTGAATTACAGTTTCAGAAAATTTTGAGTTGTAACTCTATCTAGTATCTATTTATCCATCTGTCTATCTAGACCACGACTCACGTCAGAATTAGTACAACATTGTCACCGTACCCTCACAGAAGCCTGGATAAAAAACACCGGTGGAAGTCAGCTGGATCGAAGGAAATAATCACAGCAAAGGCAATCGGGCTGCCGATACTCTGGCTAGGAGGGCCGTCAGGCTACAGCCTTCTGGAGCCCTGAGTGGGACTGACCATGTTGGCGGCCGAAGATATGATCACAAAATGCTCTCACACCCTCCTTTTCAAAAAGCGCTGGGACGATACGATTGGCTGCAACTTATCCAAGGAGCTGCTAAACTACCCAGATAAAACTACTCGAGCCAGAAACTGTTGCTGACTAGGAAAAGGCTACGCCTACTAATAACAGACATCTTGACTGGCCACTTTCAGCTAAACAAACATTTGTTCAGGTTGCATTTCAGCACCACACCCTTATGTAGGGCTTGCAATCAAGAAGTTGTTTCTTTGTGAGTGCACTGCTCTTTTGCCAATACGCAGAGCTAGATTAAGCCAATCCTTCCCATCCCTAGAAGATATCAGAGGCACCACCGTCGGCGACGTCATTGCCTTCGTTAAATCGCTCCCAAGCTTACACATACAGGTACAGATACTCACCGCTTCCCGGTACGTAGATGTTCAAAAACAAGCAGTCCTCGGATTGATTCACTAGAAGAGGTATCAACTTTTTCAAATACTGATAGCGTCCTTTGGGCATTAATTGAAGAGCTGCGGTTTTATTGGCAACGTCTGGATACTTTTGAGGACATACGGCACCAAATGTATCAGCTAATCGCGTTCCAGGCCAAGAAAGTGGCGGTTGTGGTGGCTGGAAACGTAGAGGACCTACTGGAGGCGCTGCATAAGGCACACCACGAAAAACCTAAAGAATGTTTATTAGAACTGAAGAAATAAAACTTTCAAAACTTACCTCAACTGGTTCCAAATGTCTAGAATTCAATTCCAATATAACGCCTCTGATGGCGCCGCTTTGTATTTCCACTATTCTCGAACTGTATCTGGGCGGGCCGGGTTTCGTTTCTTGACCGATAACGAGTACCAGCACCGAAAAAATCACAGGCAAAATCTGGCGAATGGGCGGTGGATGCTGCGCGTTACGAAGATGGCTGCCTTTGGGGGCGCATCGGGGAAGCATGGTCTGCGACGCGAGAAGGGGGGCCCGGCATTACTATAATGGCCCCGCACGCCTATGATGGGTGGCGGAGGAAGCTGATAAGCTGAAACAAGGAAAAATTTACAATAATTATTCAATCACCTGCTTCTAGAATTTGTAAATTGTTGATTAGCTTTTGTTGTTATTTTGGTAGTAACCTCTGAACATGGAATTCGGGTGTTCTAGGGAAATTGTGCTCCTAATATTGTCAAAGAATATGATCGAATCTAGGGTCGATTTGCTCTACTGCTGCTTCTGGTTGTGCTCTGTAGAATGAACTGCAGAATAACTTCTGGTTTTGGAGGTCCAATACTAATATAAAACCTCGTGAATCTTGTTGATTGTACTCAGAGAACGACCCTTGTTGAAAGCAATTTATGAAATCGTATCTGCCGAAACGAGACTGGGCTCTCTCCCTCTTCTCACAAGTTTTGATACAGTAATTTCCTCCTCGAGAAGAGTTCCAAAAGAATAAGGTGGAAACAAAACTTATATGTTTCCTTTTGTTATAGATTTGGGGTCAATTACTGCTTTTGCTATACCAGCAGCACCCCCACCTAGCGCTGGTAGCGCAGATAAGCCAGCAAATAATGCGGGTAATTTGATTGAAAATGTTCTCACCACACAATTGTGTTGTAAATATCTCATATTCAATTGTGTTTTACCTTCTTCCTGCCTCTCCGATGTATATGTAATTTTAGCATAGAGTTGATGATGAAGTTAGAAGCTTTCTTCTAAATCACTTAAACTGGAACTTCTTGTTGAGCGAGTTAAGTTATATTGTTCGGAAAATTTGTAATTAGCTTAAATTCTGAACAAACACCTTGTTAATGTTAATCCAACCAAAAACTTATTCCCAATTTTTAATTTTCGTAAAAATCTTGGTAAACTAAAAATTTCATTAAAACCCAGTTGAGTTTAAGATGCTAGAAGAATCCTGGGCTTAAAGGCAAATATTACAAATCTTTAAAACTTTTAATTAATTATTGCTGAAAACTTTTTAAGTTTGCATCGTGAAAAATGTTTTTGCCATGAAATAAATTTCGATAATGCAACTTTTCCAATTTTTCAATCTCTGCAATACCTTTGAAACTCATTTTATTGGTAACACGTTTAAAAGTTTCAAGCAGTAGCAAAACGACAGCACATGCGGTCCGAAATAAACGAATCGCCCGATAGCCCGTGGTGCCAGTTGAAAGTTTTAGCTGTGAAAACGGGCGCCCTGTGCATACTAAAGCTGGAAACCGGAACTTCCTGGAAAAACTTTACCGGAAACTAGTTCAGGACAGTGAACGAAGTGTGAATCTTTATTGTGTGCCAAGGCTCTTTGACCCGATAGGTACCTGCTTCTGCTTTGATTTCCTTTGTTGTTTGTATTTTGCTATATGTTCCATCAATGCATTTTTCTTCATTAAAACCTTTCTTTATTTTAAAACGAAACCCCTTTTTTTGCTATAGTTAAAGATAATGCAGAGAAAATGCTTTTAGCTTGAGCCGCTGCAACCAGTGAGATAGAGCGCGCTCCATTAAGTAAGCAATAAAGCATGCCGCCTGCTCTGGCCATACGAAACTCTGGGAAAAATCCGAAAGAAAAATTACTGGGGGTTTTTGCTTTTGTCTCGGAACGTATCAGTTAAGCTGTCAGCCTCCGGAGTACGCTAGTCGGAGTTTTTTAGATTTTTAAGTTTAAGTTTAAGGAAGGTTTTTGGAGTAACGGACCAAGTGATTGATTAGAATATGGTTTAAGTTTCGAAAAGTGGATTGCAAATTGAAATAACCGGGATAAACAAGAAACACAAGTCAACTTCTACCTGAACCAAGTACTAATTCGACGCGCTAAATCTAGGGGTTTCACGCTTTTCATTAGCAAATCGATCAGTATACAAACTAGAGTCGAGAAAGAAAAACTTAACCAGAAAATAGGCACCTGGATATGATTATAGAGGAGATACAAGACAGTTGGGATTGGAATGAAATAAACGAGATGAATAGGATAAAAGGATAACACTCTGACTGTCAGAGCTCAATAAAGGCGTCGTTTTCCATTATTTTTTTTAAAGCAGTAGGAATATTTTCTTTGTTGGAACTTCAAATAATATGATTCATTCTAATTATTCAACTGTAGTAAATACTTTGGATCAGATAACAAGATTACCATTGTCCCTAGCCACAATAAAATGCAGGCTGGTTCGCTGGTGCAATTCTGTAAACACCCACCAAACTGTCGTGTCTACCATCTGATGATAGAGCAAAGAGGGAGGAGCTTTCGAACGATACCAGAATTCTGGGCATGTTTCCTGAGTCTCTCTTCAGAAAGATGGTAGCGGTATCATCCCGTCCTCTGTGAGAAGAAGGGAACCCTACAAGTGATTCCAATCAATCTGGCTGAAGGCTGAAAGTTCGATGAGTCTAGCTTCCCACCAACTTACTACTAAAACGATGAAATTTCAAATTTTTTTTTGGTGAGATTGTGAGTCCTAATGGTCTTTTGGGATCCCTCCAACTCCATACACTCAATTATTCTGAGATTTGGAGCCGAATTCTATGAAAAAAGGCACTCAGAAAAATTTAAAAATTGATAAATCACCCCAAATTGATTAACATTATTTTATTTCTGGAACTACAGTCCAAATGAGCTAAATTTTCAGGGATTGTAGCTCGCCAGTGGGATAAGAATCGCTGGAAATTTCAGCTTTCTATGTTTAATAGAAAAAAAGTTATGAGTTATGACCTTTCAAAGTTTTCCAAAATCTAAATCATAAGGTAGCTTACTTGAATGTTGAAATTTCAATTTTTTTTTTTGTTGAGATTTTGTATCCTAACGATCCTTTGGGATCACCTGAACCCCATACACTGAATTATTCTGGGATTTGAAGCCGAATTCTATGAAAAAAGCCACTCAGAAAAATTGAAAAATTAATGAATAACCCCAAATTGCTTAACACAATTTTATTTCTGGAAGTCCAAATGAGCTGAAATTTTCAGGAATTGTACTCCGTCACTGGAATAGGAATGGCTGAAAATTTCAGCTTTCAATCTATAATATAAAAAAAGTTATGACCTTTCAAAGTTTTCTAAAATTTAAATCATCTACCTCCTTACTTAAATGCTAACGCTGTAACACAACCTCTTTAGGAATATAGCAAATACTTTCGTAAAACCCCAAAAAATAAAATTCCATATCGAACATTTCTAAATTCTTATGCTCCTACCTAAACCAATTACCTAAATCTCAAATCTAAACGAATTCAATATTCAATTTTCGTCTACAAGGTAGGTAAATTAAAACTAAATTCAATTTTTCGTTCGAAATAATACAAAACGCCATGAAAACTGAAGCCGTGACCTGAAAATAAGAAAATTAAATTGTAAAAAGCGCCGAAGCTAAAGTAATTTTATTCAGAGTTCTTTAGTTCTCGCTTTAGCATTTTATATTCGGTACTTTATATAAAAGTTTTAACTACCAATAATTTTGAAATTAATTGCAGAAAAAGATTACAATTTTTCAATAGTCACGATGATCTAAAGCAACATCTCGCTATACAAGTTTGCATACTTTTTAACATTCAAAGAGATTTATACGAGTTTTATTTCAAAAACTTTATAGAGGTGCTGCTATGCATGTAGTTTGAAAAGTTCAAAACTGCCAAGCAAGACGTTCTCTTGAAAACTGCCAGTCGTAAATACCAGAGCAGACAAAGTCCGTCTCAAAGTTTTCCTTTATGATGATTTTTAGCATAAGTTTTAGATATTTTTTTTTTTTGTGAGAAAAACTCTTACCCTTTAAACCACTTTGGCCCACTTCTCATTGAACCACTTTCGCATTCTCTTTACTCTAAGCTCCTCAATCACCTGCTCAACGCCTCCACGTGGTCCCATATTTCTTCAGAATAATTGTCCCAGGGCGAAAATTAACAGCCAGGGGTAGTTAAATGTTCTTTATTGCTGTCCGGGGGTGCACATAATTTTTGAAAGCAGCTCCGTTCACTGGATAATGTCTGCAACAAAAGAATTAGGAAATTGATTAACAATAGGTCACAGTGATAATTTGAAAATAAAATTAGTTTCTGGCTTGTATAAGAGAGAAAAAGTATTTTCAAAATGCATAGATTCGAGTTCATGGCAGGGTCAATAAAGACAATATGTTGACGCTTGGAAGTTAGTGCGATAAAAGTTCAGAGCAAGTTTTGAATTGTATAGTTTTGATTTAATTTTCCCTTTAAGTCGCTCTTTCTTACATATCCTACTGATACGCCCTTTAAGATGTCAGGAACAACCGATGAAATCAAATGATCCAAAATAATTGATCATTCTGCATCGCAAATGAGTATATGAGGGCCATCATTCCACCATAACACTGAGCTGATAGGATTCTGAACTCCAGTAGAGAACAGACCCTGGTAGATTGTAGACAAACTTGAAGTTTTTGTAGATTTTAAAGTGAAAAGGTCTCATAACAGAACTATTGATTAGATCAGTAGTGTAACGGGTTTTCCGAGGTTTTTCCTTAAAATATGGCAGCTTAACGGTCGGTACTTATCTTTCGGTTAATCCAGCGATAATCTCGGGCGCCACCCTCGGGATTATAGTGGTTGAGGGCCCACTAGCACTGGTCTATGTCTGTACATTCAACCGGGACATAAGAATTACCTGATGAAAGTGGTAATCCTGCTGGACTTGTCCGTTCGTGCAACCAGGATTTATCCTGACCATGTGTATGACATAAGGATGCGGTTACCCTGCTGGACTTGTCTGTACGTACAGCCCAGACTTGGCCTGATCAGTCTAACTCTACCTCCTAACGTACTCCTCTAGAAGCGGATGCGGTCCATCACGGACCTAGGCTGTGTCGCGTAGGGTGCTTGAATTACCTTTTATCCTGACGGCAGTCCGTCGGTATAAGCGGCGGTATTCTCTAGCAGGCGGTCGGTGTCGGTCGGAGGAGATCTCGGAATGATCCTTTACAAATTTGGCGCCGGAGCAGGGACCGTAGGATAAGAAACCGATTACCGAACTACTTCGCTTCCGTACAACAAATTTGACGCCCGAGCAGGGACCGTTCTGCGCATGACAATGACGTCAGCATAAGACCGAGGAGATTTCGTCATCATCAGTCCTCCATTCCTTCGAGATGCCGTTTGCTTTGGCGACCACCGTAGGTCTATCCGTTACCGTACCGTTTTGATGTGATTGCCAGACCGCAAATTGTCGGGGCGAATGAATCGCTCCTTCTGGACCGTTCTGCGTGTGCCTTATCGTCCGCCCCATAAATTGGAGGTCTTAACCAATGCCGTCCATGGTCCGTCCGAGGCAGACAGTTCCGTCAGTTCCTGTTGTATTTCGCACTGCATTGGACCGGAGTTCCCTGTTTTGGGAGGTATTGGTAAGCGCATGCGCAAACCTTATTTGGCACATTTTCGAGTAAACCGAGGTCGCTGATGTCATTTTTTTAAAAATTATTTTCTCCCACTGAAAATTTTCCCGTTAATGTAGTTTGTCAGAAAGCAACCGCTCCGTTGCCAATGCAAATTTCAGAAAGCTCTAAAGCTCCACACCTTTTCCGCTCCATCCATTTTGCGCATGCGCAACCTCTTTGTCGTACCGACCAGTTGCCATATTTCTTGATCAGTCCGACGGTTGAGAGACCGAATAGTAGACGAGGAGAGGGAGAGTGTGCGCATCAGCCGCCATTCAAGTAGGATCCCATAAATCGCTCCCCACTTCTTCAAAAGAGTATAAAATAAAGCGCTCGCACTATATTGAGATAGAACCGACCGAGCCCTCAAAGGAGCCACATCTAGTGAACCGTTCCGAGAGAACCGACCGAACGCTCAAAAGTGCAACATCTAGTTAACCGTTCCGAGAGAAATAGATTACTTAACCGAACCGACTGAAACTGTACTGCCAGTAAGGATAGTTCTGACCGAGTCTCCAGCCCAAGAACACTCAATCCGCAGAGTATTAGGCTGAAACCAAAGCTCGAAGACTTTCAACTGAACTGTCAGAAAAAGTGATTCGACAGTTAAAGTCACTTCACTTCCAACCGTACTACCGAGTGTAAGCCGTAAACCTGTTGTTATAGAAAACCGCTGAAAGCCGTTGCCGATTAACCTCACTTTATTCCACTACCGGTAAATAAGCGTTAACCGGAGGCACTGGCAACAATGGAAACCCACCGGTTATCAGTACACCGAATACCACTGCCTCTACAGTGGTAACAACCAGTCCAGTCAACCCGCCCGTTAATGTACCAATAACCACTTACCCCGTTTGGTACGATCTCAATGATGGCCCTGTGAGTTGGGTTTATCTATTAAAGAAAGACGAGCTGATTTCTGGACTAACAAAGTTTGGACTCGACACTACCGGTACCGTTGACGTATTGAAAAGACGTCTAGTTACATTCTATCGCCAGGAAAAAGCTTCACCGGCACTGACCACCATGGCAGGATTCATCTTTCCGACCAATTCCAGCACGCATACGACTCAGGCAAATAGTACCGCTGCCCTGACTCAGACCAGTACTGCTGATACTGGTGTACCAGGTACCACTCTGGTGCTCAATCCGCCGATACCGACTATAACCATTCACCAATCGCTGCATTATCCAGTCGCATCCGGGTCTCCAGGAATGGTACTGAAAGTACATAAATGGAATATCCATTTCAATGGACGAACCGATCCAGTGATATTCATAGAGAGACTTCAGGAAATTTGTGCCTCCCAGGGGGTACTGATAGACCGATTGCTGCCGCATATTCCTCAACTTTTATAAGTTACCGAAATAACCAAGCTCACTGGAATACCTGGGACGAATTTCTGACAGATTTTCGCAGCTTTTATTATCCGATAAACTATGCCGCCGACCTGGAGATGGAAATTAGCCGACGGCTCCAACAGCCGAACGAGCCAACCCACCGGTATATTACAGACTTGCGAACCCTCATTAGGAGGCATGGAAGCATAACCCCTGACCAGGAGCTTCAGTGGTTGTATAGAAACTTGTTCCCTGAATACAGACAACATTTTCGGTAAAGCGACATTATCCAATGTAATACAACAAGAGGTTTCAGGATTACCAGATAATATTTTTACCTGTCACGAAACGCGTTACGCAGCAACTCCTCCTTCGGAGTCGTGGTGTTGCTGGTAACGCGTTGAGCAATTTTCAGGGTTTTATTTTGAGACGTAGTTAGGTTGAGCAACAACGACTGATGTGACTCCTGGGTTATCGTTTCTCCATTGTAACAAGCTAAGCTACCTGGTGCACGTGGGCCCTCAACCTTACAGTAGAAATTGCCCTCATCTGTCAATTGTACTACATTAATTGGAAGATGCAAATCAATTCACAGATGAGCCAAGCTACAAAAAAAAAGATACAACTCGCCTACCAATATAGAGAGACGAGAATTGGCCCTCTCCCGTCTCGTCTCGATGATACAAGAGTAAACAAGTATTTCGTCTCCACAATAGAATGAGACTCGTCAAGTCTTATCTCGTCTCTCGTCGGTTTTGATTGAGGTAATTTCGAGTTCGAGAACAGTTCCAGACAAATGAGATTGAAACAAACATGATATGTTTTCTTTTTTAGTAGTAAATTTAGAGTCATTTACTGCTTTTGCTATACCAGCAGCACCTCCACTTAGCGCTCCTAGAGCAGATAATCCAGCAAATAATGGAATAAGGGGTAAAATTCCTCCTGTTTTAGGAATAGAAATAATTCTTTTTGGTTTGTAATGTGTTTAATTTCTCTCACTCATCCGCCTTTTCATTTTATTAGCTGCAGACTAAAAAGAAATTGTCTTTATTGATTTCCTTTTGGTATTTATCTATATTGTTATTCGACTTGCGTTTCATTTTTCAAGCAGGATTCACAAGCCTAACAAAGCATAATTAATATTACGATTTTGCAACTTCCTCCTAACTTTTCTCCAGAAATCCCATACCACCGATAAACATGTTTTTGAATATTCGTCTAACTTTATCGGGTAAAATTGCTTTCAACTGAAACTAATTTCCAGCTCCTGAAACACTCGCATTCGATAGTTTTAGAATCGATATCGGTGCCCTCCGGAACGCTAACGTCAATTAGTTAAGATCCTAATGTGTGGTCGTAACAAGTAAAACAACATATCAGTACGGCGACTATGCAAATTTGTTAAGCCAAGATCCAACCGTAAATTAGATCTAAACCGTATATTATGCAAATTCGATGGGCACGACGAATGCAGCTAAAGCTAGAACGGTATGCTTTTCGTAATTGAGGTGAGACTTACCACCACTGGAAGATGGATATTTGTGTTTTGACAATGTAAAATAAAAACACATATGCATTCGTTATTCATAAAGAGAAGCTGAAGATAAATTATTATTTAAACGATCCTAGAGGTTAGGCACGTGGGCACCATTTTGGAATTGTAAATCCTTAAAATATTCCTGTTACGCTAAGTCTACGACCGCAATCGGATGAAGAAACGTTTCGAGGGGATTTTCTTTTAAAAGCGATTTAGATCGTGGAAAATGGACGCGTAAAGCTCTTCTCGCGACTGCATTACCGATTTCGTTTCAATTTATTACGCGCGAAATTGCCTGGCACGTTCAAATTGCTCTTTAGACTTTAAATTTTTGTGGGCACACCACATAATAAACTCATGAAAATGCAATCTATCATTGCGGTTTAATACTCCCTGAAAATCGTAAAACTACATCCGTAACCAAACACGGCCAATTAATTAATCACCATTTGGGAATTATGATAAAACACATCCAATTCGGCGGTAGAAGGCTTTTACGCCATCTATTATTACCCCGTTGAAATTATTGTTTTAATTATTATTATTTTAGAGTGCCGATTGAATATTTTATTGCCTCATATGATGGATGTGTTGCTTTTCCTGTTAATGGCGCTTTTATTACGGCTTTAGTAATTGAATATTAATTTTTGTCATTATTAATTTCCTGATGTATGTAATCTAATGTTTCAAAATTAAACTCACGTT